AGAAGAGTGATGAAAACTGGGGACAGAGGAAAATAGTTATTCCAATGTACATTGAGCCACATGAACATCAGTCTCATGGACCAGAAGTCCAGACTAGATGGTGCATAGATACCTGGAAGGTACCTAAAAGGGATCACATTGAAAGGTCCTGAATAAAATGGAACAAAAATGTGTAGCAAAACTCAAAACCATAAAAGAGGCTAAAGGACCTCCAAGTAGAACTGTGGTAGTACATAATCTGCTGTCAACTTGAGCCTATTAAGAATGAAGGGGTAGAGATTAGCTTGTCTATCAGGTCACAGCTCGATGACCTCATTTGGAGGCGCAAAGGACACAAATAGCTCTCTGGAGGCGGGACACAGAGACACTCCCTGTGAGACAATCCTGTTGACAAGTCACATGGAGACACACTGATGGAGCCAGAGCCCTGGAGCAGGAGGAGCCACATGGAGACCCACGCCAGCGCTGAGATGCTTCCACTGTCACTGGATCTACAAGACTTTCCACCCTCTGTCCTGTGATCTTCCTACATCCGTCATTATTGCATGGCTGGATGAGTCTAAAGAGGAATTTATGGACTAGTATTGGACATATGGGCTAATATTGGACTTATGGACTTGATCTGGACTGGGCTGGGATGTTTCTCAATATACAATTGCTCTTTTATATAAAGCTCCTTCTTATACACATATGAGTGTCCTTGAATTTGTTTCTGTAGTCAAGGCTGGACTAACACAAGGACCCCCAAGTTTACGGCCCTTGGTCATCCCTCTGGTCTGAAATTGAACTCCTCCTGTGGATGTATATATGGGGGAAATTATTATTCGATCTGTATGCTGAGCAAATAATCAGAGAAGATGGATTATATGAAAAAGGATGTGGCATCAGGATTAGAGGAAGGCTTATGGACATCCTGCGATATGCAGATCACACACTCTTGCTTGCTGAACATGAACAGAATTTGAGACACTTTCTGATGAAGATCAAGGAATGCAGCCTTCTGTATGAATTATAACTCACTGTGAAGAAAACCAAGATACTCACAACTGGACTAGTAAGTAACATTATGGTAAACCGGGAAAAGATGGAAATTGTCAAGGATTTCGTCTTGTTTGGATCTACAATCAGTTCTCATGGTACCAGCAGGCAAGAGATCAAAAGCTGCATTGCATTGCATACATCTTTTGCACAAGACTCCTTTTAAAGTGTTGAAAAGCAAGGATGCTACTTTGAAGACTAAGGTGTACCTGATCCAAGTCATGGTATTTTCAGTCACCTCACATGCGTGGTTCTGGCAAAGAATACTGAAAGTACCATGGTCTGCCAAAGAACAAACAAATCTGACTCGGAAGAATTATACAGCCAGAATGCTTCTTAAAGGCAAGGATGGTGAGACTTCATCCCCTGTACTTTGGACATGATATCAGGGGAGACTAGTCCCTGGAGAGAACATTGTGCTTGGTAAAGTCGCAGGGCATTGACAAAAAAGGAAAGCCCTCAGTGAGAGGGACGGACACAGTGGCTGTGTCAATGGGCTCAGACACAAGAACGATGGTGAGGATGGCCCAGGCCCAGGCAGTGTTTCGTTCATTCGGTTGTATAACTGACTCCAAGGGCACATAACAATAACAAAAGGGGAACCATAACACTCTTTGAGGTGCATACACCTAGAACAATAAACTATTTGGGGTTAAGGGGCAGCATTTACTCAAGGGCAAATTTCAGAGGGATTAAGAAGGAAGGAGAAATGGCATTTGGAAATGGAGGAGTGGGATGGGTACTATTCCATTGACAGGATTTCAATTCAATGAACAAGATGAAGCAGAATGCGTATGACTCACTAAATGTAGAGCTGAAGGTCTCTGTCAATTTTCACAAATTCACAATAAGAGTTTAAAGAAAATCTAAAAATATATCCATGGTGTAAATAATGGAAAATGGGAGAAAAGCACCATGGTTTAGATAACAAGTAGATAATCACCTAATGAAAAGCTACTTAACTTGCCTGTGGTCAAGGGGATTCTGGTTAAAATAGCAATAGGGTCTCCCTCAGGAATTATTGGATTGTCATACTGATTATAGACCAATGCTATTAAGTATAAAGGGTTAAAAGTGTGCTTTCATATACAATTAGTAGGACTGAAAATTACTGCAGCATTTTACGGATATATGTTTTCCAGTGTCTCTCAAAATGAAAAATTCTGACTTGACTCAGGTATCAAGTTTTGAGTCAATTTGACAGTGATTAAAGTATTGTTACATAAAGCTGTTTGCCCAAGAGTACTTCTTGCAATTGTTTTCAAAACCAGGAACACACGCACATATAGGGAAACAAGCGAATGTCTGTCAATAGGGGACTGTAGCACATTCACATAAGTCAAGAATTGTGTAGCAATTTGAGAGCTCAGAAAACAGTGAAATACTATTTTGCTCACATCAGATGAAGAGGAATTAGAATGTCTTAAGATATGCAGCACATTAGTGATATGGGGAAATGGCAACTTTCAAGAGGCTGCTAGATGTGTAAATTGGCAGACGTTTTCCCCTAAACAATCAGCACACCTGGTGAACTTAAACCTGTGTGTGGCCTGCATCTCTGCAAGCCTACTGTTAGGAATATTTCCAGAGCAGCTTCAGTAAAGCTACTAGGAGACGTGAAAGGAAGCTCATTGCAGTTCTGTTTTTAATAGATAAAGGTTAAAGACAGTCCAAGAGTCTGTCAATAGGATAAGTAAGTAATCTGTTCACACAGTGGTACCCTAGATAGCGGCTAAAATGAATGGACCACATCTATTTGTATCAACTATATGTTTTAAATATCCAATGCTCAGTAAAAAGTCAGTCATATAATGATTAGATTAAACGGTGGAAATTAAACACTGCTGGAACTCACACTATCGTTCAGTGTCTACTCGTAGTGAGAGGCCTGGGTTGTGAAGTATCCCCTAGATGGGTCAGTCCATCTTGTGTGCATGATTGTCCAAGGCAGGTCGGCCGATTGCTAGGCTTTCTGCCATTTCTTAGCTGCTGCTTTTCTTCAGAATTTTAATCTGAAAACCTGAGCATTCATGCGAAAGAGGAAGCTACAAAATTGTGCAAGAAGATCAAAGTTCAGTGTTTCCTGAACCCAGAGCCGAAGAGGAAGCAGAAGGGGCTGAGAAGGACAGATGAGAGGAAGGAGGAACACAAAAGGACAATGAGATCTAAGACAGGGCCCAAATATTGCACCAGCAAACCCCTCTGCCTATCTCTCTTGGCCCTTCTCTGACTTAACTACTGGAGCCGGAAAGAGAACATGATCATTATTTGGATATTATTGGACGACTAGTCACTAAAACACTCAATTAAGAAGCGCACACCCGAAAGCCACCTCTTTGGGTAAGGAGAGTGCTTCCTGACAGGAGTGCTGAAGAATCTTTAGTCTTCAGTCACTGATGTCAATTGTTCTTGCAGAAAACTGGTAAAAAAATATTGACCACGGTTCATTACCACATGAATTAAATAATCAATGCTTGTATTATTGCTTGTATTGTGAATCTTCATGAAAGGAATATTATCA